TTAATTTATTTCTTTATGTCTGTATGAACTCAGATTCTTATTCTATTCCTTGAATATTCTATTGCTATTATTGACTTATTTGGCTAGTGGGATCCCCTTTAAGCTACCTGTTATGTCCTTTTGACACATCCTTGACATTTTTTTTAGCACTTCCCTATTTTCTGGTACAAGATATTCCAGACTTATTTTGTACTTTTTCTGCCCCAGCCTTGAATTAGCAACTTTCACAAGGATCCCTGGTTCCTTAAAGTGAAGAATGATATTTAGAAAAGTAGCAGCTTGTATGTGGGCTATGGCCTGTGGAGCCCATGGCCATGCTGGCCCCGGCCCAGCTCTCAATCCCTGTGGTCCAGCACACAGGGTGGGTTCAGAGGCAGGGGAAAGGAATGAAGCTCCTTAGTCTGCCTATTGGATGCAGTTCAGCAGCAGCTTGGGCATATTCTCTAATGTTTAATTAATAATCCAATAATTAACTGTCAGTAAGCCAACTGCTGGTTTGCATGCATGTGTAATCTGGGTTGAAACCAGTCTCTGCAGGTGCACTTTGGGAGAAAGAGGCAGGCCAGGTCTTGCTTTGACCTACCCCTGACCTGCATTGGACAGAAGCAGAATTGCTCACCTGGTTGCTTTTTCTCCAGCTGCCAGAAAGAGACAGGTGTCATCTCACATTGCAGATGTGTTCATGAAGACTTAGCTGGTGACTATGAGACAAAAGCCTTCAGAGCCTGAGCTCATGTCCCTGCCTCTGGCAGAACTTTCCAGCCTCTTACTCAGCTCTGCTTGCTGGATGCAGGACTGAGAATATTTCCCACTCAGGTGCAACTTCCCAGTCTTTCTAGATCCCTGCACCACTCCACCCGACCCCCTACACTCAAGTATGGAGATTATTCACAGGAGAATGACTTCCCCTTCTGAATTAAAGACACCCACCAGGCAGTCATGGCTTTTCCAGTGTGGGGTATAGGCCCCTCTGCTCAGAGGGCTTTTTGTCTTGGAGGCTTGGGAAGGAAGACCCTAGAAATGAGGAGCATGGCAAAGGGATCATCCTGGGCCAGGCACCAAGTCACGACACCCCTGGAACCTGCCAAGCTGGCCCCTGCCAGGCTGAGGGTCTTCAGGGATGAGAGGACTCTTGCCCTTAGGCGTGTTTTATGCTGCCCTTTCTGAGGGACTGATATGCTCTTTGCTTTTCTTATCCCTGCCCCATCCTCTATCTCTACTTTGCAGTAGGCCTGATGCTGGGTACATTCCATTTCCCCAGCATCTATGTAATAGGATGTTGAATGCGATTCATGTTACGCTGGAATTGATAACTGGAGCCCAAATCTGGGACACCTAGGTCCTTAAGAGAGCTATCCATAGTTGGGACCAGACCTCTGTCCTGGGATTTCACAAGAGAGCCCAGAACTGGTCTAACCTTCAGCAACCGTCACCCCAGCCCTTCCACCCCCTCCTCCCCTGGGCAACAGAAATGACTGGGTGATGACACTCAGAGAATCTTAGCATGGACTTTGTGGGAGAGCATGTTTGCAGTGAGGGGATTCCTTCCTTCTGCCTTAGGGGAAGGAGGTGGGGATGAGAACTCAGGAGCATCAAGTACTTCGCATGCACGTGGAGGGGAGCCGACATGCTGTCCTCCTGTTGCATGTCTGCCTGTATTGCAGACCATGGCCCTGCCTCTCAGCCAGTCAGAGCAGGAGCTGAAGAGAATGAGGGAGCACGCAGGCCAGAGCCAGAGCTGGGTGGGGGAGGAGGCAGCTCCCCACCACTTGCAAAACTCACGATGCAAGGGAGCTGCTTTGAGTTGCCCAGCCAGTCCTCTCCCAAGAGGCAAGCTCTGGGGACTAGTTAAAGTCTGAATGGCATCACACATGTGGTGAGGCTGTATAACAGCCCTGTGAGAAGAGCAGGACATACAAGCTGCTACTTTTTTTTTTCGAGACAGGGTCTCACTCTGTTGCCCAGCCTGGAGTGCAGTGGTACGATCTCAGCTCACTGCAACCTCCGCCTCCCAGGTTCAAGCGATTCTCATGCCTCAGCCTCTCAAGTAGCTGGGATTACAGGCACATGTCACCACTCCTGGCTAATTTTTGTATGTTTTAGCAGAGACAGGGTTTCACCATGTTTGCCAGGCTGGTCTTGAACTCCTGGCTTCAAGTGATCTACCCCTCTTCGGCCTCCCAAAGTGCTGGGATGAGCCTCCGTGAGCCACTGTACCCGGCCCCAAGCTGCTATTTCTATGTGGATGCCTGGGAGGCAGCGTGGCATCTGGGAAATATCCCTCAGCGGCTCTATTTGGCATTTTATTCTGGGGCTTTCCATCTCATTCCCTTCCCCTTTCTCTCTGTTTTGGTTTCTTTTCCTTCCTTCTCTCTCTCTCTCTTGCTGGGCTTACACAGTGTCTCTCCCTTTCTCCAAGAACATCAGGGTTACACCCTCAGGGTCAAACCTAGGCTCTCCCACCCAGGCTCTGATGAGCAGACTGTGGGAAGACTTAGTTATGGTTTTTTGTCACGTGGTGAGAAAAGGTGAGCACATGCCCCCAAATATCCTGACACAAGCTGTGAGTGCTCAGTCACCAAACCCATTTTAAACCAGTTATATTTCCATTCTCAGGGTAAAGGGTTTCCTCAAGTTTCTACCCTTGAGGCTGATTTACCAGTCCAGTGAGATCAAGGAAATGAAGGACATTTCATACAGTAGCGGTAACCAAACACATCTGCAAACCAGCCTTCAGAGTGGGAGAATGAAGGCGCGCATGAAAGAGGAATAAGGTTTCTATCATTACAAAGGCATCCATGGCTAAGACAGTGGTATTCACTGTTATGCAAAGTCCAGAGTCTTCCAATTTGAAACCTGAAAGACTTAAATTTAGGGGCAAAAAGATCAAGTAGGTGAGTGTGGTTCAGGGAAAAAGCACAGATCTTACAGGGGCTGCGGGAGGCTGGCTGGTCAGATTTCTCCTCTCAGCCTGGTCGCCTCAGCCCTAGCGCGGCCCCTCTCCATGTCTGCCTCACGGGGATGCTGTGAGGAGCAGAGCACAGGGCTTCTGTGGAAGCTGAAGGCACTCGCTACACTATCAGTCCTTCTGTTGCCGAAAGTTGCTGCTCTTATTGAGGGGCAGGAGGCCTGTCACAAGCCATGACAGGAAGTGAAACACAGGCAGAGACAGGAAGTTGGGACCTGTCCTGAATTTCGAGATTAGGATCATAGGAACCTGTCCTGCATTCACCACACAGGTCCCTTGGTACCATTTGCTCAAGGACAAGCCTAGATTGGCAGTCTTTGTTCCGAACCACGAGGACTGTTCTGACATTTATTGACTTTCAGGAGATGGCTCATTTGTGGTTTGTGACGGACAGCTCAGCAGTCATGTGCATGCATAAAGGAAGCTTACGGAGTTGGAGACTGATGGGGTCCCCAGGGGTCTCCCGGCCCATCGGTCCCACGTGGCTGAATAGAGATCCCTGAGTATTTCCTGAGGCCCCTTCTTGATCTGTGAATGAGATACAGGAGGTGGAAGAGGAGCAGGGATCCTCCCTTTTGGTTTTGAGCACGTGCCCTTGGCTTCAGCCTTTGGTCCTAGATTCTGGGCACACCCATTGTTCTCAGCCATTCAGGAGCCGTGCCCTGTGGACTCTGGATCTTAGATTTTCCCGCCTTCTTACTGTGTTTATGGATAACATTTGCTCACCAGGTCCAAATTCATTGCACATGGTGACTCTTAGTTTTGGGTGCCTCCCTCTCCCCACCCACTCCACCCAGCGGAGAACCATAATCACTGCTGTCGTCTTTTGAGGGCGCTGGAAGACTCGTTCACGCCTGAGTTTAGATCAATTGCCAAACCTGCATAAGAGCATTTACAGTGTGAGTTGCTACTGGTTTTGTTTAAGATCATTTTAGTGTATCCACAAAGTTACGCTTTTTTCAGTAAAATGTTTCCATTTCAGTGTTTATAAGTGCCTTTGTTATTTGTGAATTGGAAAAATGAGCAAGGAATCTGTTTACGTGTTATTAGCCTCTGATTCCAAACGATTGTCCAAGAATGTGGTAGGATCCTGGACTGTCAGCAGAGATCTCTGTATCAGTGCTCAGTCAGGAACACAGGAATGATTCCAGTCATTTTAAACAGGGAATCTCATCCAAAGGGCTGATCACAGAGGCATCAGAAGGGCTGAAGGAGCAAAGAGTGTCCACTAAGGTTGGCCAAAGGTTAGTAGCTGCCGGAAGCTGCTGTTCCTGCTAGGACTGGAGGCTGAGGGCTCATGACCACAAGCCCCAGGAGTTGAAACCAAGACTTTCACACTCACTTAGAAGCGTCATCTGTTGCTTCTGCCTGCATTCCCTGGGTTAGAACTCAGTCACACAGCCACGTCTAGTTGCAAAGCGGCTGGGAGTCTACCTGAGTGGTGACCAGAGGAAAAGGACTAGGCTTGTGAACAATGAGTCTCTGCTACATATGGGCACGGGAGTCACTGTTGTTAGGAGAGAACAGTCGTCTTTTTGTAGAGGGATGCTTCAAGATGTGTGTGCGCATGTGTGTGTATCTGTGTGTGCGTGCATGTATGTGTTGCATGCATGCGTGTGTGTGCGCATGTGTATGTGTGTTGCATGCATGCATGTGTGTGTGTGTTTGTGTGTGCATGTGTATGTGTGTTGCATGCATGCACATGTGTGTGTGCATGTGTATGTGTGTTGCATGCATGCATGTGTGTGTGTGCATGTGTATGTGTGTTGCATGCATGCATATGTGTGTGTGTGTGCATGTGTGTGTGTGTTGCATGCATGCATGTGTGTGTGTGTGTGCATGTGTATGTGTGTTGCATGCATGGGTGTGTGTATACACACATACCTGCCCTGGCACAATAAGATAGGAATAGGAGTGTTTTTAAGCTGAGTTCTCCTACCTCCCTCCTCCCGTTCCATTCTCACTCCCTTCCCATGCCGTCCCTGGCCATCCCAATGGCCCCTCAGCTGATTTCTGTGTGTTCTGTTTGCAGGAGGCCCTGGCCCAGCCTCAGCCCTGGTGGAAGAGCCAGCTGTTCGTGTGGGAGCCCGTGCTGTTTGGGACCTGGGATGGTGTGTTCACATCCTGCATGATCAACATCTTTGGAGTTGTGCTCTTCCTGAGGACTGGCTGGCTGGTGGTGAGTGCTGAGTTAGTGGTCTGGAGCCTCTCACAGGTCCGAGACGGGAAAGCTCTGCCACTCTTGGCATTCTGCAGTGCAGGCCACAGATTCCTGAAGCACAGATGTTCCCAGAACATGAAACAGAAGCAAGCACGGCTAACAGCTAGCATTGCTTTTTAAATGAGCATCCTGCAAACATAGGCTTTGGAAGTTCTGATGGAAGCCTCACACCATAGATTTAACTATGGAATAGGAGCACAGAAGTCAGGGCTCATCGTGGGCGGGACTCAAGGTGGGTCAGAGATCAGATTGATGGCAATTTTGCCTCCAGTTTGTGGCCCCTGCAGTTTTCCTGTATTCTTCACCTCGTCTTGGACCTATCCACGTGGTTGCCTTCCCGCACTGCACTGTGACCCTGTGAGTAAGACTGTGCGTGGGGCTGCTTGGCCAGAGGTGTGGGCCGCCTGCCTCTAGGGATGGATTGCCTAGGACGGACTCTGCTGTGCGAGATCCTGGGTGTCAGTTCATCTCCCTCTGTGGAAGAAACAAAGGGCCTCTTCTTTAAGCCTCATGCAAAAGCATCCTAGGACCTTCCAAGCAGATGTGTGTCTGGAGCAGGGGTTCTCAGTCCCACACACACTGCCATCTTGCACAGTGGGACTTCGGTAGTCCACACAGGTGCTCCGAATAAAAGGCAAGCCAGTCTCCATGTAAACATTGTGAGCACCTGCTGTGTGCCAAGCACTATTTAGTGTCAAGGGGATTACGAAAGACAAGACATGACCCAGGCCCTCATCCCCTCCTCTCTTCCCCTCAACCATGAGCTAACAGCCATGGCGGACAGATGTCACATTGGGAGAGGTCTCAAAGCAGCATTAAGTCCCTCAGGGGTGGAACGAACCATGAGTGCTACAGTCACTGAGGTGTCCAGGAAGGCTTCCTGGAGGAGATGCAGTTGAGCCAGGCCTTGAAGGGTGAGCTAGACTAGATGGGTGAAAGTGAGGAGGCCATTCAGGGTGTAGAATCTCCTAGTCAGGATTCTCCAGAGAAACAGGCCAATGCCAGCAGGAGCTTTAAGTATGTGAGGTATATGTTAGCAGGTAAGGAGTGATGCTGTAGCCTCGAGTCTGAAGCCTGGAAATTCTGAGTGGCAGCAGCCTGGAGGCAGAATTCCGTTTTCTTTAGGAAATCAGTCTTTGCTCATAAGGCCTTCAACTGATTAGATGAAGCCCACCCGTACAATGAAGGGTAATCTACTTAAGGTCAACTGATTGTAAATATTAATCACATCTGGAAAACACTTCTGCAGCAACATTTAGACTAGTGTTTGACTGAACAATTGGTTGCCATAGTCTAGCCAAGTTGACACATAAAATTAACCATTACATGGGCAAATTCCAGGAGATGTAAGCCCTTTATAGTGAGATACACGGGATTCTTAGCCCCCATAAGAAGCCTGGGCAAGGTCAGACTTCCTAAGCTCTCATTCTCCTCCATATGCAGATCCTAAGCTCAGGGTTCAGCCTTAGCCACAGGCAGGGCGGGTTTCAGACCAGCAGTGGAGCCCCTGGGCATCATATTATGAACACCGGAACAGAGCACCACCGACCTCCAGGACAATTTTCCAGCTTGTGTTAGGCCACCCAGCTCTGGCACTGGCTCTGCCCACTCCTAGTTCTCTCTCCAGCATGTGGAATGCATGGGGTGTTGCCTGTCGGGGTCTTCCTTGCTTTCTACTGCAAAACATGTGACATTACATCTCCTTCTTAGATGTGCTGTATCTGTTTCCTCTCTGGGACTCTTGCTTTCACATTGAAATGTGTCTATCTACATGTGTTTATCTCCAGGCATGCGTGTGTTTGTTTATTCACTCAACAAGCATTTAATGAGCACCTATTTTGTGGAGGTTATGCTAAGCACTGAGAATACGAAGAGGAAGAAAAGATGATCCTCCTCTGTATTAGTCCATGTTGCGTTTCTATAAAGGAATACCTGAGGCTGAGTAACTTATAAAGAAAGGAGGTTTATTTGGCTCACAGCTCTGCAGGCTGTACAAGAAACGTGGCACCACCATCTGCATCTGGTGAGGCCTCAGGAAGCTTTCACTCATGGGGAAAGGTGAAGAGGGAGCAGGCACACCACATAGCGAGAGAGAAGGCAAGAGAGATGCTGGGCTTTTTTGAACAACCAGCTCTTCTGTGAAAGAACAGACTGAGAACTCACCCGTTACTGTGGAGGACACCAAGCCATTTGCAAGGGGTCCGTGCCCATGATCCAAACACCTTCTACCAGACCCCACCTCCAACATTGGGGATCACATTTCAACATGAGATTTGGAGGGGTTCCAAATCCAAATGTCTAAACCATATCCTCGCCTGGAGCTCACAACCTGCTGGTAGAAACTGGCTTGGAAACACTCAATATGACAAGTCCTGTGGAAAGTTCCAAGCCCTGGCACTGGAGGAGCCCAGAGAAACGGTTACAGGGCCAGCTTCCTGGCGAGGAAATCCTAAACACTGAGGCCTAAAGGATACGCTGGAGTTAACCTGGCAAAGATGCAGAATGAGCAGGAGACGCCTTTCAGGCTGGGGAATCAGCGTGGGGAAGGGTGGGGTGGGGAGAGCTCTTGTCGCTGCATGCTGGGCACAGAGCGAGATTAGGAGGCGCCTCGTGAGGGCATCAGCAGCTCTGACTGTACCCTCTAGGCGTGGGAGTCATGGAAGAGTTTGCAGCCAGGATGCTTCCCCTCACTGAGAACTTCCTCCTGGCCATGGCTCTTGTGGTGCTTGCTTTGCCCTTTTTAGTGGTCCTGCCTCTGTGCCCCCATCCCATCCCCCACTCCAGTGCTGTGGGAGGAGGGGAGGTAGTCAGTGCTCCCAGCAGGGAGCTGGCGGGATCTCCTCACCTAACCCGACCTTGCTCCTTGCTATTCTACTACAGGGAAACACGGGAGTGCTCCTGGGCATGTTTCTGGTGTCCTTCGTCGTCCTGGTGGCCCTCATCACGGTGCTGTCTGGCATTGGTGTCGGGGAGCACAGCAGCATCGGCAGCGGTGGCGTCTACTCTATGATCTCCTCGGTCCTGGGCGGGCAGATGGGAGGCACCATCGGGCTGCTCTATGTGTTTGGACAGGTGAGGCCTGCACCCGGGATGCTTCCCCTGCCTGGCTCTCTGCCACTTTCTTCTTCTCCATTTCTTCACTTGACCTGGTGAGAGGGCAGGGTGGGGACGGTTGCCCCACGTGATGAATGAGCAGGCTGGGGCTCTGAAGGCTCTCAGCAGAGAGCCAAGCCACCATCCAGGGCCTGACCCCTTAGTCTCGCACTCTTTTCCCTCCGTTGCTCCCGCCTCCTGGATGCCTGATGTGGCCAGCAGGGCCGGTCCTGGCCAGCACATTCTTGCTGTTGGATCTAGGGACCGGCATGCATGACAGTGGCTGGAGCCCAGGTGGCAGCTGGGGTGCTTTTTTACTGAAGAGGGGTATTTGGCTGTGCCAAAAGGGCTTTCCTAGAAGCAGGCACTTCTCCAATGAGCTGGAGCTCCCAGGCACATTTGATAGCTTGGTGGCCATCACAGGGAGGCCGACAGCCCCTTGTGTGGACGCCCTGTCTGAGAGGGAGAATGCTAATGAGGAGGCTGCTTCAGCAGAATGGACGAAGGCACTTCTAAAACGAGCGAGCAAGGGGAAATCCTGAGGCTTTTTTAGCTAAAACACAGGCTTGGTGACTTAATGCTGAGGGAACAAAGTACAGACATTAAGAAGCAGTTCTTTGTCAGCGTTTCTTGGATTGAAAAAGGCTTTTATGAGAGTGCAAGTGGTGGTGGGTGGTTGAAAAAACGGTTTAAAGAAAAGAATTTGTCTAAGTAAGAGTGTGCAAGAACCTCCCAGAGAAAGCTTCGGTTTTGTTTCTTTTATTTTTAGGCAGCAGGAGCAGGGTGCTACGGCATAAATACATCTGATTCTCAAACAGCACAGAGCTGCGTGTGTGCATGTGTGGGCGGCGGGGTGCGTGTGTGTCTAGGACAGTGCAGGGAAGGCAGATGGATGGCCTCAGCGCTCTTAAAAAGCACTAGCCTTGACTGCAGAAAGGTCTTTAAGTACAGTAGTTTGAGAGGGGGATAATAAATGGCCAGTTTATTTTATTACCCTAGGGATTTAGTATACAGATTTTTTTTTTTTTAACTTCTCTGCTTTTTTATAGCCAACTAGGCTGCAAGGTAGGCAAAGTCCTGTTTCCCCCTCTCGGGGAAGACACCAAGTGAGCCTCTAGAAGCAGATGCCATGGGTGGGCACTGGCATGAACACTCCTGGACAATGAGAGGGAGCCGGGCTGCTGAGAGACCCCCTTACGTGGGCTGATTTGGAAAAGAAGATGGTCACAAGTAAGATGTTTTCTAAGTGCTGACAGCCACAGCCTGAGGCGCCAGTGCACCCGCATCCCAGCTGTTACGCCTTCTTTCCACTTGGGCCTTGGTCCGAAACGTTCGAGTCACCCTGGACTCCTGGTCCTTGTCTCTGGAGTGCCTGTGCCTTGTTTGTGGCTGGCCCAGGTCGGGAATCCCTGATCGGGTGTGATGACTCTGTCATCCTTTTTCTTCTACATTGCTGTATTTGGTTTGTTAGCATTTTGTGGAGGATTTTTGTGTATCTATTCGTGAGGGATATTGGGCTGCAGTTTTCTTCTGATTCTTTGTCTGGTGTTGGTGTCAGGCTAATTCTGGCCTCATAGAGTGAGTTGCAAGTGTTCCCTCCTCCTCCGTTTTTTGGAGGAGTTTGTGAAGGATTGGTGTTAATTCTTTAACCATATGGTAGATTTTTTGCCATGAAGCCATCTGGTCCTGGGGTTTTTTTTTTTTTTTTTTTTTTTTTTCATGGCAGGAAGGTTTTTGGTTACTTATTGAATCCCTTTGCTTATATAGGCATATTCTGATTTTCTACTTCTTCTTGAGTCAGTTTTGACAGCTTGTATCTTTCTAGGAATTTGTCCATTTCATGTAGGTTATCAAATGTATGGGCATATTAATTGTCTACAGATTTTCTTATAATCCTTTTTATTTTTGTAAAGTCGGTGGTAATGTCTCCCCACTTTCATTCCTAATTTAAATAATGTCTTCTCTTTCTTTTTTCTTGGTCAGCCTAGATAAAGGTTTGTCTGCAAAGAACTAATTATTGGCTTTGTTGATTTTCTCTATTGTTTTTCTGGTCCCTCATTCATTTCTGCTCTGACCTTTATTGATACCTTCTTTCTGCTTGCTGGGGTTCACCTTGCTTATCTTTATCTAGTTTCTTAAGGTGGCAGGTTAGGTTGTTAATTTGAAATCTTTCTTTTTCAAGGGTGCAGTTGGGGTTTTGAGGTTCCCTATTCCTGGTTCTTATTATCTCCCTTACCCATCATCCCGGGGCATGCATGCATTCATTTATTTTTAATGATTGTCAGAACAGATTCCCTGATTTTACCCCTGAGTAGGGGTCAGCAAACTTCTGTAAAGGGCCAGATCATAAATATTTTGGGTTTTGTGGGTCCGATGACTTTGTCACAACTATTCAATCCTGCCATTGTAGCGTGAATGTAACCAGATAAACAGCATAAAAAAAATGGGTATGGCTGTGTCCCAGTAAAACTTTATTTACCAAAATAATCAGCAAGTAGGATTTAGCTAGTAAACCAAAGTTCGTCAAACCCTTCCCTAGAGCATCAAAATTAAGGAGATATAAACAGCTAAAGTAACGATTTTAAAAGCTTGCAGGCCAGGAGCAGTTGCTTACACCTGTAATCCCAGTATGTTGGGAGGCCAAGGCGGGTGGATCACCTGAGGTCAGGGGTTCAAGACCAGCCTGACCAACATGGTAAAACTCTATCTCTACTAAATACAAAAAAATTAGCCAGGCAGGGTGGCACATGCCTGTAATCCCAGTTGCTTGGGAGGCTGAGGCAGGAGAATTGCTTGAACCCAGGAGGCAGAGGTTGCGGTGAGCTGTGCACCACTTCACTTCAGCCTGGGCAACAGAGTGAGACTCCATTTCAAAAAAAAAAAAAATAAACAAAAGCTTGCAAAGGCTCATCATTGCCCTGCATTCTACAAAACCCTTTCCCTTTCATCTCTCTCAGACGTTGGTGGCAGAGCTTGCTCTGTGGGACCAAACTGTTTGGCAGAGGAGCAGATGACAGACTAGAGACTCCCCTCACTCCCTACTCCACTTACCTGTGTGGTCCTGAGGGTCCTTGGATACTGTTTACCCTGAACACCAAAATGTTTATCTTCAGCTGGTGCTGAGGAACATGCATTAGCGGCTCACATGCTTTGTGCTGGACTCCGTACAAAAACAATGAATGACCGGAAAGTTTTTACGGACCTGATTTGGCCTGGGGTTTTTGTTATAGGAGTTAACACATATTCAGGACATCTGTGTTAATCTACCAGCTTTAACTTTAAACCAGGGAGTTTGTGTCAGAAGGGGAGGGGTGCTGAGGAGCAGTTCTGGTCCTCCAGGTAAAGTGGAAGGAAAATGCCTGTGATTGTGAAGGTACAATTTTGCTAAAACAATTACCTTGGAATAGAAGCTCCCTGAAGATAGGCCACCTTCTCTCTTTAAAATGGTGAACAACACCCCCTGTGTCTTGTGAGAAGGAATTCGAAGTTTCTCTGCAGAGTATGAGGAAAGAAAAGGAAGGCCTGGTCTAAGATTTAGAAGGAAATAGAATACTTTTAAAATATAATAAACCCTTAAGACATTTACTCATTAAACAAACCACCAGGAATGTTTTTCCAGGAAGAGCAGCATTCAGGTTGGAAGGGATGCTGCCTCCAGGGTGGCTGGATTGCTCTAGGGAAGGTCTGGCAGTTGCTGAGTGTGTGGACAAAGGCCTTGAGTCCCGGGCTGCTTCCCTAAACCTGGGCAGACTGGGCTGATGTACCCTGATTTAGTATTTGCATAAACATATGGGTACTTTTAATATGTTTGCTTGTATCTTTTAATAAAATTATTTGACAGTTACAAAATGCTATTCATTGTAGTCAGTTAACACATTGGAGACAATGAAAAGAAAGAGTTTTCCCCACAACCTTCAGGTGATCCTAGTGTTCTTTTTCGGAACATTTCCCTCTGCTTATACTCCTGTATTTATGGATTTTGAAGTGCCTTCTTGTGTTTACAAAAATGGAGACAAGGCTGGGCGCAGTGGCTCATGCCTGTAATCTCAGCACTTTGGGAGGCCGAGGAGGGCAGATCACGAGGTCGGGAGTTCAAGACCAGCCTGGCCAATATGGCGAACCCCCGTCTCTGCTAAAAATATGAAAATTTGCCGGGCATGGTGGCACGCTTTTGTAGTCCTGGCTACTCGGAAGCTGAGGCAGAAGAATCACTTGAATCCAGGAGGTGGAGGTTGCAGTGAACCAAGATTGCACTGCTGCACTCCAGGCTGGGTGACAGAACAAGACTCCGTAGCAAAAAAAAAAAAGAAAAAAAAGAAGAAAGAAAGAGAAAGAAAAATGAGGACAAATTTCATACATTATTCCGTGTCTTGTAGTTCTCACTTAACATTGAGTAATAGATATATCTCTTGGTCATTGTTTTAAACCAATGCTTTTTAAGTGGTTACTTAATATTGTATAGCAGAAATGCACCATAATTTATGGCTCATTTCTGTTCTCCATTTTGTTTTTTTTGAGACGGGGTCTCAGTCTGTTGCCTAGGGTGGAGCGCAGGGTGCCATCACAGCTCACTGCAGCCTGGCACTCCTGGGCTCAAGTGATCCTTCCACCTTAGCTTCCCAAGTAGCTGAGACTACAGGCATGCACTCCCATGCTTAGCTAATTTTAAAATTACTTTTTGAGGGAAACAAGGTCTTGACACGTTACCCAGGCTGGTCTTGAACTTCTGAGCTCAAGCAATCCTCCCACTTGGGCATCCTGAATTGCTGGGATTACAGGCATAAACCACTGCACCTGGTACCTGGCCTTGTATTTTTTGTAGAGACGAGGTTTTGCCATGTTGACCAGGCTGGTCTTGAACTCCTGGACTCAAGGGATCCTCTTGCCTTGGTCTCCAAAGTGTGGGGATTACAGGCATGAGCCACCGTGCCTGACCTTCTATTTCATTCTTGTACTTTCCTCTGTATGAGTAGTTTTTT